GCACGGCCACGACTCCAGAGCACAGAAACCAATCTCTTAACTATCTAACTTTTAATAGAAATACTTCCAGGGTTAATAAGTAAAATAGCAGAAATCCAAAACCGCGCGGCCGAACCAAGTTGTAGAGAGCAAATCATTTCACAACGCTGTTTCAGCATATCTGATTGGGGGGGGGTCGTAAACTCTAAACAATAATTGTGCATCTTCTATTGAAACAATGTATCTAGTCAAAGTAGATAGAGTATTAACTAGAACTCATCTGCCTCACAGGAATCAGGAGGGGTGGGAGGTGGGGTTCTATTGGGGTTCGGGGTTAAAAATAAGTATTGGTAAAGGGAAATGTGTTTGATATTTACATGACTGAGACCTAAACCCGAAAGCTCTGTAACTTTTCCCACAGTGATTCAATAAAGAAATAAAGTATTAAAAAAAAAAGTATGCTGCAATATGCTTATTTGTCTGAACATGCTTCTTGATGGAGGGGAAACCAAACTTAGTAGTTTTAAGTCACCTTGATTTTTGGACCTTATTATTATTGATTAATTATTACTTGTTTTGAGCCATGCTTGTTCGTACTCAGGACTTAATCCTGGTTCAGTGTTTAGGGATCGCTCCTGGCAGTGCTCAGGGACCATATGTGTGCTGGTGAATGGATCGGGCTTGACTGTGTGCAAGTGTCTTACCCTCGTACTATCTCTCTGGTCATTTTATTTTTTTCAACCTAAGTTATTGGAAGGTTCCTCTAATATTTGATCTATATGTCATGTGTGTGTATGTGTGTGTGTGTGTGTGTGTGTGTGTATGAGAAGCAAGGTACTTTTTATTGAACAAAACTTGCTTAACAAGAAGTGAAAAGGGGTTGGACCGATAGCACAGCAGGTAGGGCATTTGCCTTGCATGCAGCAGACCGTGGTTTGATTTTGATTGCCAGCATCCCATATGGTCCCCTGAGCACTGTTAGGAGTAACTGTGCATTGCCAGGTGTGACCCAAAAAGCAAAAAAAAATAAAAAATAAAAAAAAAAAAGGGAAGAGAAAAAGAGGGAAAGGGTGCTCAAAAAAGAACACAGGCTTCTCCAGAGTGGAACTCAGCATAGAAACAAGTATTCAAGGCTTGAAGAGCAAGCCTGATTTATATTTCTTACCTAGCTTGGCCTTCAACTGGATTATAAAGTCCTTGAGTGCTAGACCATATTTGATGAAACATTTACACTGCTCTAAACCAGTGGATCCTGGGGCTGGAGTGATAGTACAGTGGGTAGGGCGTTTGCCTTGCATGTGGCTGACCCTGGTTCAATTCTCAGCAGTTCATATGGTCCCCCGAGCACTGCCAGGAGTAACCCCTGTGCATTGCCTGGTGTGACCCCAAAACAAAACAACAACAACAACAAAAAGACCCCAGCAGATCCTGCCACAACAGGAGAAATCAACCATATCCACTTTCCTAGCTATGTCAGCACTGGCTGTAAACCCCCCAGTTTGTCACATTCACAAACTGCCATGGAAATTTTTCATCTTTTACTAAATCTATATGGTGCAATTGCATCTAGACTACATGGTTATTAATTTGTGCATCCAACTTTAGAAGAGCTCACAGGAGTGGGGGGATGATCTCCTGTTTTCCAACTTGAGCTTTCATGTACACCTGTACCTACTCCTTCATGGAACCTCGGACCCTGGGGCTTCCTGCTGACTGGCAGCAGGGGTTACTCTCAGACCTCAGTGTGCCTTGCACGTGTGCTGCTGTCTAAGCTGCTGAGCCATCTTCCAGGCCCCTCAATACACATTGGATTTATATCTAATTCTGCTTGTAAGCTATGAGCAGGTTTTAATTTTCCCTTCAGGGGCCTAGGAGATATCAGACTTGAAAGGTTTAAAAGTTATTTTCTCTGTGATGGCGAGAAAAAAAATCAGAAAGGAAAAATTTAAATATTAAAAAAATCTATTTGTTTTCTGGGTCATACCAGGCGATGGTCAGGGATTGCATCTGGCTTTGCACTCCAGAATTGATCCTGGTGGTTTTCGGGTTCCTGAGTGCAGAGCCAGGAGAACCTCTGTGCTTTGCTGGGTGTGACCCAATAAGCAAAAAAAAAAAAAAAAAAAAAAAACCTACACTGATTGACTGTGTGTTGGGCAAGTGCTGTTACCAGTATAAGTATATTTCTTCACTTTGTGTTGCCACTATATATGGAGCATAGAGAAGATGAAAACTGCAATTCAGTGAGAAAATTGAATAGAAAAGGTTTTTGAAAATGAGTATATCCACTGTACTTATTTGTGTTATTAGTTGCACAGTATTCCTCTTACCCAAAATACTGTGCAGTATCTGCTCATGTTCAGAATTTGCCAATTCAGTTTTAATGAAGTGTGAGAATGGTTTGTCAGAGAAAATCACTTAGTGAACTTACGTGCAGTGTCTATTTTTTGGCTCTGGGCTTCAGAAAATGTCTGTTATCTTTTATCTGGATTTATGATTATTGCTGTGGTTTTTCAGTACTGGCATTTTAAGAAACTCAGGCATTTACCTGTGAAAATTTGTTCCTGTGAAACTGTTAGTTGAAAATATTCAGAAAGATGGGCTTCCAAATTCCACATAAATCAATTTTGAAATTTTCCACACAAACAAAATGTCTACATTAATCTGAAAAGAATAACTTTGTCCTCCAAGAAAATGCTTTTAAGTTTGTATTTTCAAGTATTAGTGGCCGAGAAAGCTTGCATTGTAATCTAAGGATATCACTTTTACCCAAGTACTGTTATGATCTTCTTTTTTATTTATATTTATGTGAGAGGGAAATTGAGATATAGAGGAATCAAAATTAAAGAAATTGGTTGAAATTGGAGTTGAACATGCTTATTTTTATTTTTATGTAAAAGAAATCTATCTTAGTGCTATGTTGTGTTGAGGAAGTTGACTATGCATAGAAAATTTTGCATTTTTAATAGAAACATTGCATGCAGCATTTATTTTGAGAGGGAGGACAGAGCACATCCAGCAATGTTTAGGGGTGACAGCTGGCTCTGTGCTCAGGAATCATTCTTGGTGGTCGTACTCGCAGACTGTGTGGGATGCAGTGATTGAACTTAGGTCGGCTGTATGCAAGGCAAGTGTCTTACCCGCTGTACTATCTCTGCAGACCCCAGAAGTAACTGCATGCAGCATTTGAATGGATGTAATATCTGTAATACTGTTTTTAAATTTTTTTAAAGAACCATGATTTATAAAGTTACTGAAAGTTGACATATACTGTTAGACATATACTGTTAGACATATGCTGTTCTAGCACTAGTCCCACCACCAGTGTTCCCAGGTTCTCTCCCATACCCCCAAGCCTGCCACCTTGATAGATGCACTTTCTGGTTTGTTATTGTAGACTGGATCTCATATTTTCAGTGTTGTTGACTCTGTGGTTGATATTAATAGATATACCATTCCTCCCATTACTGATATACCTGAGGCCCCTGGTTCCTATTCCCCTGTTAGTTTCCTAACTCATTTTTTGCCCCCCTCATTTTTTTCCTTCTTTGTCCTTCTCCCCATACTCTGCAGTCAACGGTGATCTAGGCACAGCTACTCTCATTCCCACTCCCCACCCCCACCACTTCTTTACTACATTACATTTGCTTGTCTAGTTATTCTATAGACTACAGATAAGTAAGGTCCTTATTTGTCCTTCTTCCGGCTTACTTCACTTAACATGGTATCTTTCAGTTCCATCCAAGTTGCAGCAAATTGCATGGTTTCATTATTCTTCGCAGCTGCATAGTACTCCATTGTCATGGTCACGGTCCTCCCGTTGTTCATCGATTTTCTCCAGCGGGCCCAGTAATGTCTCCATCATGAGACTTGTTGTTACTGTGTTTGGCATATGGAATACATCACGGGTAGCTTGCCAGACTGCCATGCAGGCGAGATACTCTCGGTAGCTTGCCAGGCTCTCTGAGAGGGGCAGAGGAATTGAACTCGGGCTGGCCATGTTGGCTGCTTGTAAGGCAAACGCCCTACCACTGTGCTATTGCTCCAGCCCCCTACTCCATTGTAATACTGTTTAACTTTCTGTAGAAAAGTTTTCTTTAAGGCCTCTCCTTTTATTTGTTTGTTTTGTGCTCAGCAATCACTCCTGAGTAATTAGTTGCACTGATATGTGAATTGAACCCTGGTCAGCCATATTCAAGGCAAACGTCTTACCTACTGAACTATTTCTGTCCACTGGAAATTTTTTAAGTAGTCAGGGTTATTTTTGTTTTGTCAGATCTACTCCTTTGTTCCTTATTTATTTAATGATTGATGTTTAACAAGCACTCAGATGGAGTATTAGAAAAGGTAATATTTAAGAATAACAGAGGAATAATATTCCTGAGTTCTTCAGGACTTTAGAATTTATTTGGCATATGATGAAGGTTTTGTTTACTTTTCTGCTTGGGGGCCATATTTGTCACTGCTCAGGGGTCTGCACTTAGGGATCACTTCCAGCAGTACTCAGGAAACCATATGGGTTGCAAGTTTTTAAATAGTGTTGGTGCCAGGGATTATGGTGGAATAATAAGAAAGTTAGTCAGGGAAGGTAAGAGTTGGTTTTATGAAGAGGTAAGTTGTTAGAGTTGAATTTCAGTTAATTTGCTAGTAATTTTATTAATTAGCTTAAAAAATATTTTCTATCTTATTTGTTTATTGTTTTTTAAGCCTCTCCTCACAGCGTTCAGGGTTTTTTCTTTGCTCTCTGCCCAGGAATCACTCTTGGTGGAGCTCGGTGCCATAATACCCGTACTATTTCTCTCGTCCTTATTAACTTTTCCGATTTGAGTGTGTGCATGATTTTCTATTTTAAGTGTGCAGACTTAGATAAAATTAGGAAAATTTTAATTATTAGGCAAAATTAGGTAAAATTTAATCATTTCTGAGTACTCAAGCAGCCGAAATTGTACAAAAGCATTAGTAAAGCACGAAATGTTTTTGTATCTCTTAACTTTTGCCTCTTTTGTGATTTTTCTCATTAACAGGAAATCAAACCACAAAGCCATTACAATCATGGTTATGGTGAACCTCTTGGACGGAAAACTCATATCGACGATTATAGCACATGGGACATAGTCAAGGCTACACAGTAAGTTTTTTATTGTAGTTCTTGTCTTTGATATCTATTTTAAGAGAAATATGAGTACATCTTAATTCTTAGTAACAGATAAAATCATGAGGAGTTACTAAGTTTCTTTCCCGGCAACTCTGCTTTTGATGCACGAAGGTAGTTCCTCCAGAAATAAATTACTAATTAAAGAGAAGTTACACCTTAGAAAAATGTAAATTAGAAATAAAATTAAAACCGGGCCAGAGCAATAGTACAGTGGATAGGGTGTTTTCCTTGCATGCTTCAACGTAGATTTGATGCCTGCTATCTCATATAGTCCCCTGAGTACTGCCAAAAGTGTACTGAGCTCAGAGTCAGGAAAACCCTGACTACTGCTGAATGTGACTCAAAAAGAAAAAAAAAAAAGAAATAAAATTAATATCCTTTCATTTATCTGTACTGAGAATATCGCATGTATTATTTAAAGTGTGATCTTCAAATTGCCACATAAGATAAATTTAGGGTTATTATAATACAACTCATACAGAAATTAAAATATAAACTTGTTTACTGTGCATAGAGGTGAGACCACTTTCTAGATTATTTTGTTTTAAAAATTAAAGTTTACTGCATCTAGTAGAGGTAATTGTAACGAAGCAGTTACTCAGGGAATGTGTTCTTTCTAATCAGCTGCATATTTACTTCATAATGAAAACATTAAGTGATATTTATTTCTCTATGTGAAGGCAATCAAGATTACAGGTATTGCAGCTCTATATTAAGTAAAATGAACTATTTTTTGGTTTTGTGAAATCATCTTTTTCTAAGACAAAGGAATTGACTTGGCATCTTGGCTATTTATTATTTAGGCTTTTAGAACCACAATATTACTTAGGGCAAACAAAATTTCAGAGTAATACAGCCCTTGTTCAGGAAGTTATTTACTATCCTTGTTCAGATGCTAGAAAAAAGCTTTATAAGTTAAAATGTTTTGGAATTTTATACAAAATTTTTTTAAATCGGAGCATTTTTCTGGGACAACTCTGTCATTAAATTCTCAGAAGGGGCCTGTCAACCACAAAATTAAGCAAAATTAAGAGTGAATGTTTGGAATGATTTTATTTTTAGATGATCTCATCCATTGCATGGCGTTTGAGTGGAACAATGTAGAGAAACTCCTTGTCATTTATAAAAATTTGGTTGTTTTCCTTTGTAGATTTGTTTAAATAGGCCATCTTAATTACAGCAGCATTTTATAGTAGAATAATACCTGTAATGTTGATTATTTTTACGCTTACGAGCAATGCAGAAACAAGACAAAGCTTCAAGATGTGTATGATCACACCTAATTCTTCTTTCTTTTGCATTTTGGGTCACACCTGCCGATGCACAGGGGTTACTCCTGGCTCTGCACTCAGGAATCACTCCTGGCAGTGCTCGGGGGACCGTATAGGATGCTGGGAATCGAACCCAGGTTGGCTGCATGCAAGGCAAACACCCTACCCAGTGTGCTATCACGCTAGCCCCCATACCTAATTTTTTAGTCTAACTTTTACTGTGTTCATAGTCCTCCTTCAACCCAGGTGTTGGGGAACATCCAGCCCACAGGCCATCAAATGCCAACAAAATCATGAGGTCTGACCTTGATACATGACGAGACAGATACGTGTAATTTTTGTCTGCTCCCCTCAGCCTGTATTGTCTGGCTGGCAAATGATGTCATAAATACTCTGACCCTTTGCCTTTTTTCACTTACTTGCTATTTGCCTGGAAAGTTGCTATTTATAATGAGGAAAAGAAATACAATACTAAATTTTCATAGGTTAAAATTACTTAAAAAATATTAGAGCCTAATTTTAATGCTCTCCATAGTATATTGAGGTCTTTATATATTAAGGGGGGGGGGGTGGTTAGCGCAATAGCACAGCAGGTAGGGCATTTGCTTTTCACGCGGCCAACATGGCCAACCTGAGTTCGATTCCTCCACCCCTCTAGGAGAGTCCGGCAAGCTACCGAGAGTATCTCGCCCGCACGGCAAAGCCTGGCAAGCTACCTGTGATGTATTAGACATGCCAAACACAGTAACAAGTTTCACAATGTTACTGGGCACTCTTGAGCAAATTGATGAATGAAGGGAGAACAGTGACAGTACAGTATATATTAAGAAAAGAATGAATTCGGTCCAGTGGTTAGACTTTTCACGTCAAAATCACACCCATCGGGACATTTTGAGTTTTGAGTAAAGAGTCAACAATTTGGTCTGAGTGCTCTACATATTACTTGGTAGCTTTCCTGATCCTGTTATCTTTTGTGAAATCCAGGTGTGATTATGTTTTATATAATTTTATTCAAGATACATGTTATGAAGTCATCATTTCTCTACATTTTATCTATTCTTTAGAAATTCGAAATACTGAGTAGAAATAGATGGCTTATTTAAAAATATTTTATTGTGTGATTTTTGTTTTTCATTATAGTAGTATTGGAAATAATAGGTCCACTGTTATTTACTGTGTCTGTTCTTTACTGTGTACACTAGTATTTACTGTAAATGCTGTGTAGCTACTGTGCTTTTGGCTCAGCTCTGCATTTCTATTTTTCTTTTCCCCATTTCTTCCTCATTTTTTCCATCAGACCATTTTTGCGTTAGATCTGCAGTTGGAAGTAAAGGTCATTGCTTTCCTTATCTGACCTAGTGAAGGGTAGGGCAGAAAGAGAGATTTATTTATTAATCTTCAGGGTAGCTTTTGGCAATACCGATAGTATTTGATTTGGGAATTGTTTTTTGGCAAGACCTTATTTCTTGGTAATCATGTATAGGCTAATCACTTAAATACCAGTATGAGAAAAAGCAATTGCATATGGAAAATTTGTTATGTTTTATGTTTAATATGTAGTAAACATTCGTGAATATTGCCTGTTAATCTTGCAGAGTTGCCAGATAGATAATGTTCTTTGTAATTACTGTATTTCTAGAGATTATAGATTCTTTTTCTTGTTGTTTTGGTTTTTGGGCCACACCGAACTGTGCTCAGGAATTTCTCCTGGCTCTGTGCTCAGAAATCACTCCTCTCAGGCTTGGGGGAACCATATGGGATACCAAGGATTGAACCCGAATCAGTTGCATGCAGGACAAGCACCCAACCCGCTGTATTATCTCTTTGACCCCTGAGACTATCAATTCTTTACTTTTTTCTGTTCCGTGTTGCTTTTTTCCCTTTGAACATTTGAAGTGATTAATAAGGCTAAAGTCAGGAGTTTGATCCCCGAAGTGATCTCCTGAGTATGTCAGGTGGCCCTGGTGACTCCCAGCACTACTGGGTCTAGGCAGCACTGGTCTGTCAGCTCGGAGCATTGAACTCTTTGGCCTGGACCTCTGAGCACTGCTTTGGAGCCACTTCTTCCACCTTCTTGCTCCCAACCCTGATGAAAAAAAGATAGGCATCTGACTATTACTCTCCACGGTTTCTCATGAATTTGAGTGAGGGACCATAGCCTTTCAAGTGGACACTACTTAGGAGAGAATTATCAGACTGGTCAAATGATGACTTCTCCTGAGATGAGTCTTTGATGAGCCCATTGAGGAGCACAAACTTAGTTTTCAAAGGGTGCTGAGGAGCAGAGAATGCGGTTATGGTATTTTAAAAGGCTGCAGAGCTCTCTCAGGGAAGTTTAGTTATTTGTTTTTCTTCTAAATGTTTCCTGGATTACTGAAAGCCTTTGATTAATGTACAGAGTTCTGAAAATGTTGATCTCATAGGTTTTGCTAATGTTTTCATTGCTTTTGTAGAGAGGCAGACTTTGTAGGTTTTGGTTCACTAATGCCATCTATTTTTTGAATGTTATATATAATTATTGATGAAAGCATAATATGCCAACAAATATTTGCAAACAAATCAGTGTTCTACATTCATTTCTCCCCGCCCCCTTTTAAAAAATTGAATCACCGTGAGATACAGTTACAAAGCTTTCATGTTTGGGTTTCAGTCATACAATGATTGAACACCCATCCCTCCACCAGTGTACATTTCCCATCACCAGTGGTCCCAGTATCTCTCTTTCCCATCCCACCCCTCCCCCTGCCTCTATGACAGACAATTTTCCTCTTACTCTCTCTCTGTACTTGGGCATTATGGTTTGCAATACAGATACTGAGAGACCATCATGTTTGGTTCTTTATCTGCTTTCAGGACACATCTCCCATCCCCACTAATTCTTCCAACCATCATTGACTTAGGGATCTCTTCTCTATCCTAGCTGCCTTCTCCCCCAGCTCATGAGGCTGGCTTCCAATCGTGGAGCAATCCTCCTGGCCCTTATCTCTCCTGTCTTTGTGTGCTAATCTCATATTTGCATTCATTTCTATCTTTGAGACTTTGCTCCTTTTAATATCTCCTTTGTCATTGATCTGTCTCTAATGCATAATTTCTTTCAATGTTATGTCTTTCATCTGAACTAAAAAGCTTCCAAATCCTCTTGTAACTATACGATTTATTGATAAAGATGTATGTATACTGATTGTAATTTCTATTTTTGAAAATATAGTTTGAATCATTTCAGTTATTTAGAAAAGACAGGATACTGCAGAGAAAGAAAGAAAACAACCAAGATTATGGACGCAACCTGCTACTGCTGCACAATTTTTCTCTTTTTTTATCTATCAGATTAAACCCGTGCTAACAGTTTGCTGTAATTGCGCTGAGCTGCTCACTATTGTCCTCATACCCTTCTTTTCCCATGTAAACCTCTCAGAATCTCTCTCTGAATCTATATTTTTATACCTCTCTGTGAATGTTTCTTTACTTTCATGAATTTTTTTTACCTTCCTGCAAACATTGCTAAACAAAATAAGCATAAAATGTGTGTATGTTTGTTCTGTTCATCCTACTTTCTGTCCCCTGCTCTTAAAAAAATAAACTTATAAGTGCTGACACATAAGGTCCCATTTATTTGTTTAAATGCTGTGTGGTATTTATTGTTTTTTAATTGAATAACAGAAAATAGTCCATTAAAAACATTGCATCAGTGCATGTTCTTTTATCTCTTGTTCCTAAACATCTGAGCATGCGTTCCTCTTGGAGGGGATAGCTCAGTAGTGAGGTACCTACGCTGCAAGGGTGTGGATGGTAAGGCTGATAGTTCCATTCCGGGCATCACCCCACGTGCCCAGGTCTGGTCCCAGTGGCTTTGCTGTATCTCGCTTTCTCTGTACAACAATAGTGTCAAGTCTCTGGCACACTGCAGTCCAGTACATGAACATCATAGCCAAGTGTGTGTGACCTCCTGGTCATTGCAGGAACAGCATCAAAGGGAAGGGAAGTGGGATAAGATTCTTCTAGGTTAGACAATGCAGTTGGAATTTCTGCAGTGATTGCCAGGTTGGCTTTCAAAGTAGCTATGTCAGTTTATACTTCCACCTGCAGGAAGTGAGTTATTTTTCACTCAGTTTAGATCTCATCTCCATTGTGTCTAATTAGGTATTTTTTCCTGCAGCCAGGTGCTACAGCGCCTCTGGAAACCTTCACTTCCTAAGAGGATTTCTCTATGTTTTGCTCTTCTGTGTGGGTCTTCTATCTGGGGCTATCAGACCTTCAGCAAAAAGGTTGAGAACCGTTTCATGGGGCACTGAAAGGTCCCTAGCTGAGGCTTCGGTTTGGGTGCTTCCTATATAGTATATCACTCGATGAAACTCCTTAGAGCATCTGGTGATGGCTCCCATTGCAGCACTGTTGTTAATGTATGGGTGCCAAATTTCTCTTGTTGGGTGGGAATCAAATGATACTGTCTTATTTGACCGTGATACTGTTGTTACTTAATGGTTCTTTTCTGAATACTCCTTTCTCTTCCATTTTCTGTATCTTATATAGTGGCACTTGCTTTAGTCTAGTCATCAGAATTGTCTGCTATATTTGGCTTTTTAACTTTGTAAAGTAATTTTAGAGACTACTTTAGAAATTTATGAGCTATTCACTTGGAATTTTAGTTAAAATTTAATTAAATTTGTAAATCTGGAGGAAATTGGAATATATATTTCTTTAGGTCTTAATATTATTAATTTTGTCTATGCTGATATAATTACACTTAGGTAATTTTAAATTTAATGTTTTATTTTATAATGATGATATGGAAATTAATCCTAATTACGTTTTACTGGGGTATTTTGTTTTTACAATTTTCTTGCTGAAAAAAAAAACTCATAAAGATACAGAGCTACCCAATGAAAGACTACTAAATCATGCTAAATCAATTTACAAAGTCAATTTAACAAGTGATGGTAATTTTTTAAGTCCTAGTAATAAAGTTTTACTTTTTCACTATTACTCATGACAGAGATTTTACTGAGATTGTATTGTGTGAATATACATTTTCTGATGTGCTGGAGCGTAGCACAGCAGGTAGGGCGTTTGCCTTGCGTGCAGCCAGCCTGGCTGAGCCGGGTTCAATTCCTCCATCCCTCTCAGAGAGCCCGGCAAGCTACCGAGGGTATCTTGCCCACACAGCAAAGCCTGGTAAGCTCCCTGTGACGTATTCGATATGCCAAATACAGTAACAAGTCTCACAATGAAGATGTTTCTGGGCCCGCTCGAGCAAATCGATGAACATTGGGAGGACATTGCTACAGTGCTAAATTTTCTGATGATAGTTTTTGCAAACATTTGATTTTGGTAGTTTTATAATTTGAAAAGATGGGTTCACAAAGGATAAAAATTATTTTAGATTTGTTTTAGTGCCCAGAAAGTTGGGTTTTTTTGAATACGTGATATACTTAGTTTTTTTCACATATAGTGTTCGACACATTGCCAAACGTAGATTTTTTAAAAAATAATCTCTTTGGGCCGGAGTGATAGCACAGCGGGTAGGGCGTTTGCCTTGCACGCGGCCAACCTGGGTTCAGTCCCCGGCATCCCATATGGTCCCCCAAGCACCGCCAGGAATAATTCCTGAGTGCAGAGCCAGGAATAACCCCTGAGCATCGCTGGGTGTGACCCAAAAAGAAAAAAAAATAATAATAATCTCTTTATAGCAAGTGTTTTGCTGAAATAAAAGTAGTTATTTCCTCAGTGTCTGAAATGTTTTTCCTTAATCTTGAAGGCAGTTAATTAAATGCCTTGCTCATCTTAAGACTTTAGCAGGTATAATGCTTTTTTTTTTTTTCTGGATATCATTTTGTTACAATGTCAGTGAGGAAAAAAAAATGAATTTCTACCCAGGGCCACTGTCTGTAGTTTGCACATACTCCCCATATCTTTGTGTCTTTTCTTTGTGTAGTCCTTTTCTTTCAGTATCCCAAATATGTGTTTGTTGAGTTCTTGGTGTGTCTTACTGGGACTGTCAGCATGTGGGTGTGTATGTGATTGCCCTGTGCTTGAAGAGTTGGTTCCCACCTCATGCTCTTGAGATGCTCGCTACTCTTGGCCCTCAAGAACTGAATAAGGAAGTTGGGAGACTGAATGAATTACTATATACATAATGTTGTTTAATATTAAAACTATTTCCAGTCTTTGCAAATTTGGTGATTCCTTTTGGTGACTAAAATATGCTTTATTTACATTTATGTATTCTTGTTTTACATCAGTCTCTGCTGAAATTAGTTTCTTTGTAATCATTCACTTTGTTTCTAAGACCCCGATGACAGCCTCTTTATGCTTAGTCCTGTAACTACTCATAGTCATTTCCTATCACTGTCATATTTGCAGTGACCCAGTATTTTCTTTTTAGGGTAAAGTTGATGATTCTTGAAGATTGATGATAATTTTTTTGTGTTTTAATTTGCTATTCTCTTTATTTTTAGTATGCTTGAAAACTCTCTTAGATAAAAAATTTCCTTTTAAAATTTTATGCTGTTGGGACCAGAGAGGTATTCCAGAAGGCAGAGTGCTTGCCTTGCACACATCTGACCTAAGTTCAGTCCTTGGCAGCCCCCCCCCCCCCCCCCCCCCCGCCATCCAAGTTTCTCTAGGAGTGATTTTGAGCACAGAGCCAAGAATAAGTCCTTAGTACAACCTGGTGCTGCCCCTCCCCCTCCCCCCAAGAAATTCATGTTGCTACATAGACTAGGAGTGTAAAAATTAAGTTCTTTCCATGTGACTTTATCTTATGTCTCATTGTCTTGAATTCGTAGGACATTTTCCCCACCCATCAGTTTTCCACCCCCATACACCTTTTTTTTAAAAATTTGCCCTCAGAAATATCAGACCTAAATTTTAAAATAGAGAATCCTAAACCTTGTAAACCATGCTTTTCTTTTTGATGTTCTTTAGTAGTCCAGTAAAATACCAAATCAAAAGAAGAGATTGTTAAAAACTTTGTTTCTGGTATCCTTTTATCTTCTACCTGCATTCTGTAGAGGAGATACTTAAAACTATAAAGTGGATTACTAAAAGATGTTAGGATAGTAGGGTTTAAAAAGTAATGCTATGTAGATAAGATCACTTATCTTCGGATGTTAAGATGGTATATTTCCTTTTTGAAATGCTGTTTTCAGCTTTAAAATTTCTTATTAAAGAGTGGTAATGGTCTCATATTTTCTTTCTTTTCAAGATATGGAATATATGAACGCTGCCGAGAATTGGTGGAAGCAGGATACGACGTACGGCAACCGGACAAAGAAAATGTTACCCTTCTCCATTGGGCTGCCATCAATAACAGAATAGATTTAGTCAAGTATGTCTTTCTTGTATTTTTAAGTTTTTAATCCATATATTTAAAGATGTAGATTCTGTTTACACCCCTCCCCCTCCTCCGCCCTGTAAAGATTACTTTTAATATACATTGAATGCTTTTTATGTGCTGGGTTCTGCACCTGGTGCATTTTCCATACGTGTTTCCTTTATTCTCAATTCTTGAAAAACCTTTATGTGAAAGATAAAATTAGTGTTATCCTACTGACAATGGAAGCTGAAAGTTAAAGAGGTTCACTACGCTGCTAGTGACAGCAGCTGATAAAGGTTCATTCAGAACTAATTGAGGCAGTCTAAATTCAACTCATTCTCAAATAGGAGTTCTTGGGAAAAAAATGCTAAAGATAGTAATTTAATACTATGTAACATGTCAGCGTGAGAGATGAATATTTTACTCTGAAATAATTTTATTGCTTATTTAATCTCATTTAGTATTAATAAGTGGTACACAAATGAGAATAGGGAGTTTTCTGTTGTTCTGTTTAGTAGTCTCTGACAATTTGGAATTAGATTTTTAGATAAAGACAACTCTGATGGACTGTACTTGTGTAATTAGTATACTACTCATAGTCTAGAGGCAAGTAGGATTATCATGATAAATAAAGTTGCCCTTAGTATCCCAAAAGGATTGTTATGTAATCTTTGAAGGAGTCACTTTCTTTTTAAAAATTTTTTTTCTTATTATAACCATCATTTATAAAGTTGTTTGTAATACAGTTGTTTCAGGCATGCAGTGTTTCAACACCATTTCCACTACCAGTGTGACCTTCCCTCCTCCAATATCACCAGTTTCCCTCCCATCCTCAAGCCTACCCCCTTAGTAGTCACAAAGAAATTTGCTTCATCCTGCTTATTACAACAAAATAGCACATGAAATTATCAGAAAGCAGATCAATAAAAGTCAATTTGTGATAATTATTATTGCTCAGAGTGCAGTTATTAAAGCCGTTGTCATTGGATTTACTGAGCTGGGTGGTGCTAGTTGAGCCTTCTGTGTTACTGCTTTTGCTCCTTGAGCTTGGTGGGATCCTATGCAACTTTCCCATCAAATTTGCTTACCCCTAGGGGGCTGTTAGTATTGTGAAATTTGGAGGAGGTATCTTCAGGAGCTGTTGAGCTGTGCGCATTTACATGGTCGAGGAGGTCAGGTATGGTAGCTGCTGGGCCTAATCTGGAAGGGAGGGCAGTCAGCCTGACCCTCTCGGAGAAGGACACAGAGTTTTCAGCCTGGAGATCCATCTACTGGGACAACTTGGCGTTTTGGTGGTTTGTTTCCATGAGTCACTTTCTTAAAGAGGATATCACTCACTCTCTCTCCTCCCGTTGTTCATCGATTTGCTCGAGCGGGCCCAGTAACATCTCCATTTTGTTGTTACTGTGTTTTGCATATCGAATACATCACGGGCGGCTTGCCAGGCTCTGCCGTGCAGGTGAGATACTCTCGGTAGCTTGCCAGGCTCTCCGAGAGGGGCAGAGGAATTGAAACTCGGGTCAGCCATGTTGCCCTATTGCTGTGCTATTGCTCCAGCCCATAGAGGAGATAAAGGTAAAGGTAAAGGCCCTCCCGTTGATCGTCGATTTGCTCGAGCGGGCCCAGTAACGTCTCCATTGGAGACTTTGTTGTTACTGTGTCTGGCATATCGAATACTCTCGGTAGCTTGCCGGGCTCTCCGAGAGGGGCGGAGGAATCGAACTCGGGTCAGCCATGTTGGCCGCTTGTAAGGCAAACGCCCTACCCGCTGTGCTATCGCTCCAGCCCATAGAGGAGATATATATATATATATATATATATATATATATATATATATTACTTGTTTTCCCTTATTCCTTTGAATTTCTTACTCTATCTTTTCAGGATGACTCTGTTCTGGTTTTGTTTATTGGAAAATATTTCATATTTTCTCTTTGGAAGAAATTTTTCCCATGGTATAGAAATGTCATTTGCAGATTTGTTTCTTAGCCATTGGAAATACATAATTTCACAGTGTGTTGGCTTCTGTTAGTGTTTTAAAAATCAGTTTATATTATGCTTTTGAAATCGTTTCTTTTATGATTGCTTTTAAGATATTTTTTGTTTTCAGTTTTCTGCAGTATCATGAAGATTTATTTATCTAGGTGTGGATTTATTTTTCTTTTTTCCTGAGTGACAATGCAAGGAATTTTAAGTTAATTACAAAGAATTTTAATTTTGTGGATTGATGTCTTAACCAGTTCTGGAAAAATCTCAGCCTTTACCTCCCCCCGCACCCCCTTCTGGAACTTCAGTTAAAAGTGTTACTTTCTTATTATTTATATTCTATATCTTCTTTTTTCTGTATCTTCTATCCTTTTTGCTTCATTCTGGAAACTTGTTCTTGAATTTTAGGTATTCTCATTTGTATACTCTATTGTTAAATCTATTTAGTGTATTCCTAATTTTAATTTTCAGTTACAGATTCTTTCTTATTTCTTCCAAACTATATTATGTAAAGCATTTATTGCTGAAATTTTCAGTCTCATATTCTTGAACATAATGAATATAACCATTATATAATCTGGTTTTGCAAGTATTTTCTTTATAAAAATGATATATTTTTCTGTCTTTTTGTTTATGTACATAATTCATTGTTTTTCATATTAGTAGAAATAGAACATTTATTTTAAACAGTTATGACATATTCAGTTATATGCCAGTATCTTAATTGAATGGTTTCTCTATTAATGGACATTTATATTGATTCTGGTATTGTTATTGTTACAGTGCTGTAATGTTATATTCACATCACTTTTTTTTTTCTTTTTGGGTCACACCTCACAATGCTCAGGGGTCACCCTTGGCTCTGCACTCAGGAATTACTCTTGGCAGTGCTTTAGGGGATCATATGGGATGCTGGGAATTGAACCCGGGTTGGCCGTATGAAGGCAAACGCCCTACCCGCTGTGCTGTCACTCTAGCCCCTCACATCATTTTCTGTGTATTCATGTGTATCTGTAAAATTCTTAGGTGTAAGAAAGTTAGAAATGTGCATTTTGAATTTTGATAAATACTGCCAACTTTTATCCTGTTATCAGTTATATTTGACTTTCTATTTTGGAATAACTTGATATTCTGTCCTCAGTTGCCCTAGCACTAATACATTTCCCTCCATCTTATTTAAATCTCGGTTAAATCACAAAAGTTTAATTACTGTTCACGGTCCTCCCGTTGTTCATCGATTTGCTCAAGCGGGCCCAGTAGCGTCTCCATCATGAGACTAGTTGTTACTGTGTTTGGCATATCGAATACGTCACGGGGAGCTTGCCAGGCTCTGCTGTGCGAGCGAGATACTCTCGGTAGCTTGCCAGGCTCTCTGAGAGGGGCGGAGGAATCGAAATCGGGTCGGCCATGTTGTTAAACATGTAAATTTCTCAAATAGTTTATGATTATCTGGGGTTTATTTTTCTGTACAGTTTTTATTTATTTATTTTTTTTGCCATACTCCTTAAAGAGAAGTAAAAACCTCTGTATGAAAACAGTAGCAGATAATTCATCTGTTCCTTTTTTGGTAGAGGAGGGTGGATGAAATAATTTCTTGATTTCTTCATCTCTCTTCTCTAGCCCAGACTGTTTACTGTTTAGGCAGACAGACTAAGATTTTCTTTAACCATTATCCTGCAGAAATCTTTTATTCTAGTGTTGTTCCCTGTCTCCAGACTTGGAAGTTTTGTGTGTGTGTGTGTGTGTATGTGTGTGTGTGTGTGTGTGTTGACTTACTCTGTGTTTTAGTAGAGCATATGTACTCTCTTTGAGAGAGTGCTTAGAGGGTAAGTGTTTTGAAGTTGCTGTTTTCTGCCTTTATACCTTATTGGTTGTTGGCTGACTGTAGATTTCTTCATAAAGGTAATTTTCTCAGAATTCTGCGTGTTGCTTTATGATTTTTGTCTTTTAAATGTTAAGAGTTCAGATTGGCTTTATCTCATTCTATTAAAGTATTCCTATTTGGGACTACAGAGATGGTACAGTGGGTAAGGCCTTGTATATGGCTGACCTGGGTTTGTTCCCTGGCACTCGATATTATCCCTTGAGCACTGCCAGAAGAGATTCCTGAGTGCAAAGCCAGGGGTATCCCCTGAACTTTACCAGGTGTGGCATCAAAACAGCCAAATTTCACAATATTGGCAGCCCGTAGGAGCTTGGTAAATTTGTTGGGATAGTACCACAGAAGCCCACTAAGCTGAATCAGAAAAAACAATAACACAGAGGACTCAATTAGCATCAAATGGCTCAGTAAATCCACCATTGTGAAATATAACAATTATCACAAATTCACTTTTTTTTTTCTGGGTTTTTTTTTTTTTTTTTTTTGCTTTTTAGGTCACACCCGGCGATGCACAGGGGTTATTCCTGGGTCATGCACTCAGGAATTACTCCTGGCGGTGCTCCGGGAACCATATGGGATGCTGGGAATCAAACCCGGGTCAGCTGCGTGCAAGGCAAACACCCTACCCGCTGTGCTATCACTCCAGCCCTACAAATTCACGTTTTTTTGAATTTTAAATTTTATTTTATTTTTATAAAGTTGTTCATAGCAGTTTGTTACATTCAGTGGTCTAACACCAGTCCCACCATGATACTTTTTCACCACCTTTATTTCAAATTTTCCCAACCACCACCCAAGTCTGCCCCAGTAGAAGACTCTAAATAATTTATTTTGTGTTGCTTATTGTGGCAAATCTGCTAAAAATAATTTTTAAAACGTTTCCTTAGAAGAAAGTGTGTGAAAATTGTTCTATTTCACCCTGGAGCCATTAAGTCCTTGTATAAGAGATTGCTAACATGTTACAGATTGAGCCTTGCGTGTTAATTTTTTGATCGAGATCAGTTCCCTTTTACTTTACACCCCATCCAGTGTGGTGTGCTACTCTGGTATATCAGTGGTGTAGAGTTTGAGATGTCCAGGAATTCTAAAATTTTAAATAGAGTGATACAGCTGGAGTTAATGTTTCAATGGCTGGCGATTCTGGAGCTTGTTGATCTCTTCCGAGATTTATTTGTGAGTCTCTGCATTATGTTAAGGAGTTTATATGGCACCAGAGGCAGTTCATGGGCATGACTGCCAGGCTCCCGGGAGATGGGAGGTCACCCACTCCCGACTTTGAGAGCTTGGAGATTTTGGTCACAAAACCTGCATACCTAAATTTTTTTTTAACAGGTTCTTGGATGAGGCTCATCCGAGCCTGTGGAGATTAGCCGTGAGCATGGTGGCAATTGGGTTCTGGAGGTTTTTGGCTGCCAGTGCTCGGTTGGGGTGGGTGGTGGGCTCAATGATTGTTCCTTGGCATTGCTATGTTTCTGGAACAAAAAATGTGTTTATATAAAATATTTAATACATAAAGTACATTATCACTTTACATATTTATGAAGCAATATTAAATGTATTCTATGTGTAAAGTGTTGGAAGATAATTATAGTCAAAATAAACTCCCATATTAATTTTTAATTGAGATAATAGTTTATACTTATGTGTATGTATGCATGTTAGGGGTAAATATATTCTTAAACCATCACAAAAGATTCTTTTTAAAATAAGGCTTTAGATCTTAAGTGGAAAACATTAACTTGTAACTTATTTTTGTCCTGTAATTTCTTAAAGATGACAGCTATCTAAATCATTCAAAATTTTGTCTTGCAGATACTATATTTCGAAAGGTGCTATCGTGGATCAACTTGGAGGAGACCTAAATTCAACCCCATTGCACTGGGCCACAAGGTTTAAATTTGCTTCTGGATTTTTTTTCCTTTGGTTTCTTTATTAGTCAGTCCCTAAACAACTTTTTATTTATTTATTTTTAAACTGTTACACCAAACTAGTGGAAAGATGGACCAGGGAAATATCTCAAAAGATTGGAGCATATGCTTTGCATTTGGAAACCCCTGGTTTGATCTCCAACAGTTACTCGGTCCCCTCAGAACTGCGGAGAGCATCTCCCAGCACCTTGCTTTAGCACCCAAGCTTTACTGAGGGTGACCCAAAACTTAAAAATGGGGGAAAAAGGGTGGGGTAGTCATTACGATCAGTATACCAATATATTTATGTTCAGTGCTATTTGCATAGGTATCAAGATTTATCGTCTTAAGTATAATTTTGGAATTAATCATGCTGATAATAATCCAGTTAGTAATAAGATGGGTTAAGCTTTGAATTTGTAAGTGTAATAGTTTTGAAGCATATATCATAAATAAGTTAAACTAAAACTTAAAAACTTAAGCAGTAGCTGAGTACATTTGGTGATGAGTATATTATCAATAGGATTAAAATGTATCTTGACATATACCCACTTCCCCCCCCCCCCCCCCCAGTATATTTATAAAAGATCTTGGTCCAGAGAGATGATACAGAGGTAGGGCATTTGCCTTGAATATGGCTGACACAGGTACATAGCTCTACATAAGGTCCCTGGAGCACCACAATAGTGATCCCTGAGTACAGAGCCAGGAGTAGACCTTGAGCACCTTTGGGTATGGTCCCAAAAATCAAAAACAAAAACAAAAAAAATACCTTCCTGAGGACTTTGTTTCTAAGTATTTATTCTTTTATGTTTTAGACAAGGCCATCTATCTATGGTCGTGCAACTAATGAAATATGGTGCAGATCCTTCATTAATTGATGGAGAAGGATGTAGCTGCATTCATCTGGCTGCTCAGTTTGGACATACCTCAATTGTTGCTTATCTCATAGCAAAAGGACAGGTAAAAAAATCACAGGTGTATGGATTTTTGACAGATGTCTTTCTTGGTTTAAATGCCTTGTTTAAATGATGCTATTTTTAGAAGTGTTAACAATCTGGTGATAGTTCAATAGTACTTTCTGATGATTGAAAAAAACTAGTTTGGTATTGAAATATGTAATGTGGCTGGAAAAAATATGAAAGTAATCACGAACCAGCTAATCCATCAAGTTGAATTTTTTATTTCTGAGAGTAATAGAGATTAATCTCAGAAAGTAAAGGAGAAAATGTAGGTACATGTCTTTCATCTGAATTTATCTAAGCTTTTTGAAAATATTCATGGTTGTTTTCTATGTTGACTACCTCTTTGAGGGGAATAAATTCTTTCAGATCAGTTTTTCAGTTTCTACTGTATAAATAATGCTGCTGTTTACATGTCAGAAAATAGTTTCTCACAAATTGTGTGGTTCTTCGTGTTTTTTTCCTGTATGTGCAGTGACTTTAATTACATTAAAAAAATATTACTGGTTTATATGTACCATGTTTTTGTAATAAATGTATTTTGTTAAAAGTGATATGTCACCCAGTTTTTCTTTCATGTGTTTTCTCTGCTTATACTTAAACATTAGTTTTGAAGGCCAAGAATTCTCATCATAAGAGTAAGGAAAATATTTTTTAATTCATTGCTATTAACATCAGTTGTTATAATTTGAAGTTGTATGGTGAATTAGAATTTGAATGATATTTTATGAATTCTAGGTTGTTGTTGATGGCATCAGCAACTATACTGTGCATTATAGTTTAGGAAATTAGTCGTATATTGGATTACCGCTAAAATGGGAGTTTGTTATTCCTTTGTTAACAAACTGACCCCTGGATCTAAAAGCTATAGATCAGCCACTTATTTTTCACAGTTCATTGGGTTGAATGGGCTTTGCTATGTCGTGCTTTTCTTTGTGGTAATAACTGAGGGCTGTGGTCATTGGGGGCTCAAGTGAACTGAAGGATGGCTCACTCTCCTATTTTATTACTTTAGTAGAATTCCTTTACAGTTTGGGCTCACCTGGTTTGCTGGGACAGGTAGACCTTTCTCCTTTGCTCCAAGTAATCGCAGAACTTCTCAACACCTCTCCTTGTGGTCTCTTTAACATACTCCTCCGTGTGGTCTGTTAGCTTGACTTTGTGTATGCTGACTCAGTCTCTTTAAGAACAAGAGTAGAAGTTCTGCTGTTTAATGTTATTTATGTCTTGGATTGAGGCAGCAACATTTCGGTTTCTTTCTGTGAGTTAAAGCAAGCCATAGGGCCTTCCCATGTTTGTTGTGGGAACATGAAGACATGAGGTTTACTAAAGAGTAACTACCGCATGGGTTCGGCCTACAGTTTCTTCTAGACTGGAGGTGGTAGCAGTGCATGGGATTGTAGCACATGACACTGTCTGTAGTGACCTATCTTAAGGATATTAATTTATAAATATGGACTTACCTGTTTTTTGTCTTTATCTGGGAATGAAAAGTCTCAAACGTTGTTCAGTTTTCGTGGTCTTTTAGGTGGCTTATTGAATATGGAGACTGGAAGATGTCAGTCATCCTTTCAATCTGGCCTCCTAGGTAGGCTGTAAACTCTTTCAGGATATAAATTTCTATCAGTCACTCTTCCTTTTGTGCGGTAAATTCATGGTGATAGTCACATTTAATTTCTTTTTGGTATCTTTTTTTCTTTCCACAAAGGGCAACAGATTCTTGTTTCCAAGTATTCAAGCAAAATAGAAAAGTATGATCTAAAAATTAACACCCTCCCTTCATCCTCCCTTCTTCTACTGAAATAACTCATTTTGACAATAGCAAATATTTTTCCAGAATTCTTCTATGTAATGACTAACTTTTCATAAGTGAAAACACCTGTTTTGAATGAATTTCAAAGTCCTCCTCTGGTTTATAGTACTATGTGTGATTTAGCTCTGGTTATCCCTAGTATTCTTCTCTTCCTCCCTCAGCTTACTTTGCTCTAACCATACTAGTCTTCTGACTGTCCATTGAGAACTCTGATATGCTATTATTTTAAAATAATTTGTGCTGGCTGTTACTTTTGCTTGGTAAATCCTTTCCTTCAGTTAGTCACATAGTTTTCTTTCTATGACTTCAGTCACATTTACTCAAATTTTTTTAGTTTTGATTAGTTTCACTTATTAACAATGTAAATTAGCCTTTTATTCGTTCTCTTTCCTGTCTTTCACTGACTTTTGTCAATAATATTGTTTTTCTGATGTTAACTTGGTTCTGATAAATATAGAAACATTTCAATTGCTTAATTTTTCAGCCTTAAATAATATCCCTAGATTTGTAGCTATTACAGGTTAGGCACTCATCATACTCTCATTTTTACTTTCTTTTTTCATTTTCCCCCATTTTTGTTAATTGTATCAATTATACATTCTTAGGGCATATAACATTTCCATTCAGTTTGTCATTCTATTCTTCACAATTGTTTCATTTTAGTTATACTGTTAAATATATTCAGTGCTCACTACCAATTCTTTTGGATGATTTTCAGGAGAAAAAGGGGAAAATACTAAGTTATGGAGCCCTGTTGATCATGGAATTCCCATAAGCTTTTGATCTGGGCTTATTAATTCTTCCTAATAGAGAATACCCATACGTCCAGGCTGAACTTGGAAAAGAAGTACCAAGTTTTAAATTCCGACCCAAAGAGAGAAAAGGTTGAATTTCATTTTTCTTTTAGTACTCTAGAGATGTGGCATAATTTTACATTTTGATTTTATTTATTGATATTTTTAATAGTACCACTTTTTAAAAAAATGATACAAAAAGAAAACAAGGAAGAAGAAACTTAAAAAGAATGTATGTGTTTTAAGTATACATCAGATTTTGACTGAGCTTTCTGTAACCCAGGACAGTGAAAGAAGTAAAGTCACAGTACTTAGTTCATATAAGAAACAAGAAAGTTTGCCATTTCTTCAATTATTAAAAAAATTTTTTTTCATTGGAAAGAAGTGTATATGGAAAGTGAGTGAAGTTACAAAAGATGTTCCCAGCAACTAATATAAATCAAATCTAGAAGTAGATTTGTAATGGAAAAAAGTGTAACATGTGATTACAGTATTTATGATTACAGCATTCAGTATCAATAATACTGATGGCCAAGGATATGTGTTTCAGTTTGTGTAATGTTGTAGTTCTCAGCTTCGCCCCCCGCCCCCCCGCCCAAGTAAACTCAGATAATGTTAACATTTGAGACACATGCTCATCAGTAATAGTGACTCTGCACTATAATTGTCCTCTCTCCACTGTCTGGTAAAATTAAATGATATAGGTTGGATTAGAACTTCTGGTTTAATGTATTTGAGACCGGAAATGAGGTGGGTTGAAGAGGAAACTCAGTATTTCTTAAATGTCTGTTATGTTCCAGGCTATGAATTAGTTGCTTTACACACATTATCCATTTAATCATCACAAGTGTCTTATGAAGCCATCATTTTTAATCATATTTTAAGATGAGGAACTGAGACTCAGAATTAAAGTACTTTTGTTATTTTAGTTTTGTTAGTAGGTTGTACAAATATGAATTCAAAATTATGCCTTATTTCATAGCTTATGCCTTTTTCCAGCTTAGATGAATAGATAGATTAAGCACAACTTTCCATTTAACAATGATTTTTGATTATTACTGGGTGCTGAAAACACAAAATTGACTTGAATATAATTTTAATACTCAGAGAACTCTTTCTTCTAGTGAATGAGACAGAGACTTCAGGTTTTAAGGCTTATTAGTCTGGATTGGAGTAGACTATGTGAAATAATTTTAGACAAGTTAATAAGTTACTAGAATTCCTAATATATCGGAATGTCTTCAAAGAATATATAGATAACTAAGGAAGACTTTTGATTGACTAAATGGTAGTCCTAAATTCTAATTTGCAAAAATAAGCATAGGGAGTCAGTACTAAGAAAAGAAAAAGATAAGTTGTTTAGAAAAAGTTAAAATGAGTGTGTGATTCTCTCCTGTATGAGTCTACTGGGGGACATTTTTGGGGAGGCTGTGTGTGTGTGTGTATATATATATATATATAACAATGGGAATATAAAAAATATATTGTTAGATTATAGTACCTTGTTTGACAGGAAAGATACATAATTTTGTATTGGAGCAGAGAGAAGAAATTCCCATTTTTTTATACTAAGGAGTCTCAGATGTTCATGGCCTAAAAGTGAAAACTTAAAAAGTATCAGTTCAGGGCTAGTGAGATAGTAAAGCAGGTAAGGCACTTGCTTTGCACACAGCTGACCTGAGTTCTGTTCTTGACACAACTCAACCCCCACTTTCCCCAAAGCAATTCAGGTATCTGTTGAAAATGTGAAAGATGATTACCTGCAAAATTTTTCCTTTAAAAGGTAAAATGGTAGGTAATTCTGAACTTTTAGTTAACACTTTGTTTTTTCACTGCAAAATTTTCAGAACTATTTAGCTCGGGAAATATACATGTCCATAAACAAACTTTTTTGAGTTTATTAAAAATATAGGTGTTTTGATTCTTGGTTTTGAAATACCTAGGAATACAAAGAATTTTGTTATTTTCTCCTGTCATGAATTAGTCTAAGTAAGCTTTTTTTTCAGAGACTTAAGTCATCTAACATATCCTTTGTGATTGAAAGATCAAGAGTAAGTCAAGGGGTCTGAAAGATAGTGCTGACTAAGGTGATTGTCTTGTATACAGCCAGCCTGGGTTCAGACCCTGGCACCACAAGGGTCTCTGACCCCTGAGCGCAAAACCAGGAAGCTAGCCCTGAGCACCACTGAATATGACCCCAAAGTGAAACAAAGCAAACAAAGAATAAGTCAGGATCTTTAAATGCAAAACATTGAAAGGCTGATTAACTCTTCTTCAGAAAGAACACTGTAACCCTATATATAAACTAAATCCGAGTATGTGTCAGGTACATAGATGTTAATTAAAACATTGAATAGTGGTAGTTTTAAACTTAAAAGAGTTTCAATAATAAGTTATATTTGAGAAATTATCATAACTTCTGTGATATATAAATTAGATGCTTCCAAGGAAAATTGCTAAGAACTTAATGTAATGTTGACTTCATGATTTTTTTTTTAAATCAGGATGTAGATATGATGGATCAGAATGGAATGACACCTTTAATGTGGGCAGCTTATAGGACACACAGGTATGTAATCATCTTAAAACAATCATTAATTTCTAGCTAATCAAATTAAGATAATGATGAGAAAAAGCATTTAATATTACTTCATTATACTTGATTTCTTTTAAGTATGTAATATGTAACATGACCTTTTGGAATGTTTGAGTCTCTTGTAGTTTGATAATTTTAGTGTCTTTAATCTTTTAGGTATTATTTTTATGTTCTAAAAAGTAAAGGGGCTGGAAAGATAATACAGTAGGGCACTTGCCTTGCACATGACTGACCTCAGTTCAATTTCTGGCACCCCATATGGCCCCCTGAGCTCTTCCCAGAGTGATCCCTGAGTGCAGAACCAGGAGTAAGCACTGAGCACTGCCCAGTGTGGCCAAGAAGCCACTTCCTTCCCCCCTCCTGCCCCCCCCCCCAAAAAAAGGAATTTTTTTTTGCCTGGAGAGCTAGTTAGCAGATAAAGTGCTTGTCTTACATGTGCCTGAACCAGATTTGATTCTTAGCATCACATATCATCTCTGATCCCTGCCAGGAATGATCCCTGAGTGCAGGGGTTAAGAGTAAAGCCTAAGGGGCTGGAGAGATAGCACAGGGGGTAGAGCATTTGCCTTGCACGCGGCTGACCCGGGTTCGATTCCCAGCATCCCATATGGTCCCCTGAGCACTGCCAGGAGTAACTCCTGAGTGCAGAGCCAGGAGTAACCCTTGTGCATCACCAGGTGTGACCCAAAAAGCAGAATAAATAAATAATAAATAGTTTTTTTAATAAAAGAGTAACGCCTAAGCTCAGCCGAGCATGGCCGAAAAAACAAAAAGAATGAAAAGTTATTTTTTCATGTGACTTGCATATTAGAAATTCTTATATATATAATAGTTGCTTTAAGTATTTTTGAGACAGTCCAAACATAGTTTTTATTGTTTGTATAGATATTAAATGAGATTAGTTTATCAAAAATAGAAAATGCCAGGGCCAAGTAACCTGCTCTTGGAACAATATGGTATTGCACATATTTAGTACCTCATATTATAATGCTGTCTCATTATTGGTTATAAAGTTGAATGTAGGTTAGAATAGATGTGTTCCAAGATGAAATTTTAATGCAGCCACAATCAGTTTAGTGCCTGTAATGATTTCTATAATTGAAATTAGGGTTGTTGTTGTTTTTTGTTTTTTGTTTTTCCTTTTCAGTGTGGATCCAACTAGATTGCTTTTAACATTCAATGTTTCAGTTAACCTTGGTGACAAGTATCACAAAAACACTGCTTTGCATTGGGCAGTACTAGCAGGGAATACCACAGTCATTAGTCTACTTCTGGAAGCAGGAGCTAATGTTGATGCCCAGAATATCAAGGTAAAAAAAATCTGTTTTAATTATGCTTTATGAAATGTCTTTAGTAAAATGTGACCTCCTTAATTAAACAGCTTTTTCATGAACTGTCAAAGATAGAGGAAACTTTGCTTTATCTTTTGCTTCCACGCAGGGACTTATTTTGCAAGATTGATTTTCATCTTTTGGTATTCAACTAATTTTCAGATTTTCGTGGACATTTCTTTAGTGAATTCTTTTTTTTTTTTTCCTTTAGTGAATTCTTACTGGTTTTTGAAAATTAGGACAGTCTGGTTTTTTTATTTGCTGTTTCTTTGATTTTTTTAAAAAAATTATGTTTTTGGTAGCAGAAAGGGATACTTTTCTGTTTCTTTAGGAATGTTATTACAGACAATTACAAATTTGTGGTTAAACCACAGTGTGTGGAGTGGGAACTTCTAGTAATTCTTTGACTTTGTCTCTTACTGTCCCTTTTCAGATGTCAACTCTTGAAAATTTGAATACTTTTATGATGTTTAGAGGAAATCTCCTCTCCTATCCAGTGCTCAACTAAGCTAGGGAGAACTTACTTATCTTAGGAGCAAAGCATAATTAACATTTACTCTCCTAACATTTGAAACTTTGTATTTTATGAATCCTTGCAAGAAAATTGTTAGTGTTAATAACCAGTCTAATTTTTTAAAGACTCAAGATTTGCCACCTTGTCTTTCAGCAATTCTGTGATTTGACTTTAGACTGTCTTTTAATAATGTATACTTGTAGGTAACCTTTTCCCAATCAACAAGTGTTTCTTAATTCCAGCAAGAAACATAGTAATTTCTAGTTAAGTTTCTCTAAATTCTAAGGCTTTTATGCCAACTAAATATGAGAGCGGATTGACCCCCACAGGGATCGAAAATGGTAATCAGAAAGTAGGTTATCTCCTGCTGGATCAGGGCATCTATATTTATTTCAATGATTATTATTTCTTTATTTGATTTATTTAAGAGAAGAAAGTTGCATTATTAAAATAAAATAGCTCAGACTGTTGTACATGGATGCTCTTAGATAGCCACTTTCTGGAAATGAATCTAGTTAAAAATATTCAGTTAAAAGTAGGTATTCAGTATTTCATTGGCTGCTATAATTAAGAAAACCACATATTTTTTATTTCTCTTTTTCAATTTTAAGTTTTCTTTTGTCCCTGTGCAAAGTGATCAGAATAGACAAGTACCTAACCCAAAACAAGGAAAGAATAAAGTACGCATACCATTATGCCTAAGTACATGATGGATGCTCTGGCATTTTTTGTCTGACTTGAAAGAAGTTCTGTCTTGTCTTGAGTTTTACCTATAAGACCGTTCCCTTAAAAAAAAAAAGTAACAATAAAAAAAACCCTCTTCCTTTTTAAAATTACTGTATTGGTGAAATGAAAGAAATAGTTGCGTTGCCAAGTGTTTTTCAACACAAAGCTTTGAAAAGTTTCTACCATTGTAATTAGTAAATTAAGCTAACCTGAAGACCTGTAGTGAGTTTGGCTAAATTTGACCAGCATTCCAAAAAGAAAAAGATTATATTTCTTTATATTTTCTTAGTTGAATTGCGCTTTATTTATTTATTTTGGGACTATAACTGGCAGTGCGTGGAGGGGGCTGCTCTTGGCTGGGTGCTCAGTGGTCAGACCCCTGGGAGTGCTGGGGGACACTGCAGTGTAAGGGATTGAGCCCGGGGCAAAACATGCTCTTCGCTTCCTAGAATCATCTCTCTGGTCCTGAAGTGCTTTAGAATGTTATTTTTCTTCTTGCCACCAGTGATTGCTAAACCGGCTATACCCCAGATATACTTGTCAAGATATTTATACATTTCACATTAGTTTAAAAAAAAAGAATGCATTTCACTATGGTAAGGTGAATCTCAGTAGACTTTCTACCAAGTGTGCCAACAGTATGTTCAAATTACAGTAATGCCAAAGAATTACAGAGGACTACACATTCTGGAATTTGAAACTGATAGTCTATATTTTAAAGCATTTTAAAACATCTTCTATCCACACAGAGTCTTAGATAACTTATATTTGATCATGATTTTTACGTGAGAATAAATTGCAGTCTATAAGTTTAACATCTTTTCAAAAATATATTGAACACTTGCACTACATATTAGCCTTTAGATTAGTCTAAGACTTATCCGTGATAAACTTTAACAGACATGTAATGGTAAGTGCAGAGAATATTTGAAATACTTTAGATGGTGTCAGTCTTATATTTTTAGTACTATGTAGGTTTGGGCATATGAATTAGATTATGCAAAAATAGGATAAGCTGGAATATAGCTTCTTTGATTAAAGCAGTTCATGTGAATATCAAGTATTTTTGGCTAATTAATGATCTTTATACCTTTTAAAATTTAAAATCATGTTTTGTTAGTTACTTTTATTAATGTTTTATCTGACACATAATTAAGATTGGCAGTTGATTTTTCAAAAATGTTAGGTTAAATGCAATACCTGGTAGCTTCTGGGGTGATACTATTTTTATTGTTTTTTTGTGAGGTGGGGGGCTTGCCCTGTGGTGCTGAGGACTCAGTCTTGGCTCTGTGTACAGGGATCATGATGTAGGGGACCACATGTGGTACCAGGGGTCAAGACTGAGTTGAACATGTGCAAAGCAAGCCCCCTACCCACTATATTAGCTCACTGTATTATCTCTGTGGCCCAAGGACATTATTTTTAAATAAAATAATGAATTTTTTTTTAAGCAACAATGTCTAGGAGATTCGTGATTCGTGAATGTCTAGGAGTTGCTTAGGAAACATTTTCTTTTTGCTTTTTTTTTTTAATTGAATCACCATGAGATAGTTACAAAACTTCCATGATTGAATTTCAGTCATACAATGATTGAACACCTATTCCTCCACCAATGTACGTTTTCCACCACCGATGTCCCCAATGTCTCTCCCAACATCCCCACCCACCCTACCCCCTACCTCTATGTCAGACAATTTCCCTCTTAATCTCTCTCTCTACTTTTGGGCGTTATGGTTGCAATGCAGATACTGAGAGGCCATTATGTTTGATCCTTTATCTACTTTCAGCACACATCTCCCATCCGGAGTGATCCCTCCAACCATCATTGACCTAGTGATCCCTTCTCTGTTCCAGCTGCCTTCTCCCTCAGCTTGTGAGGCAAGCTTCCAACTACGAGCAGTCTTCCTGACCCTTATCTCTACTGTTCTTGGTGTTAGTCTCATAATATGTTACTTTATATTCCACAAATGAGTGCAGTCATTCTATGTCTGTCCCTCTCTTTCTGACTCATTTCCCTTAGCATATTCTTCGTATCCATCCACTTAGAAGGAAATTTCATGACTTCATTTTTTTTTCTCTAATAACTGCTTAGTATTCCATTGTGTAGATGTATCAAAGTTTCTTTAACTAGTTGTTTGTTCTCAGACATTTGGGTTGTTTCCAGATTCTGGCTATTGTCAACAGTGCTGCAATGAACATACAAATGCAAATGTCATATCTACTCTGTTTTTTTGCATCCTAGGAATATATTCCCAGAAGTGGTATTGTTGGGTTATATAGAAGCCCAATTTCTAGTTTTTTGAGGAATGCCCATATTATTTTCCAGAAGTGCTGGACCACTTGGAATTCCCACCAACAATACTCCCCTTCTCCCTACATCCACACCAGCACTGGTTGTTCTTGTTCTTTTTGATATGTGCCAGTCTCTGTGGTATTAGATGGTATCTCATTGTTTTGATTTATATCTCCCTGACGATTAGTGATGTAGAACATTTTTTCATGTGCCCTTTTTATTTTTTTGGTATTTCTTTTTTTTTTTGGTTCACACCCGGTGCTGCACAGGAGTTACTCCTGGCTCATGCACTCAGGAATTACTCCTGGCAGTGCTCGGGGAGACCATATGGGATGCTGGTAATTGAAATGGATTGGCCACGTGCAAGGCAAACATCCTATCCGCCATGCTATCGCTCCAGCCCGGTACTTAATTTTCTGAGGCATCATTGTAAACAGGATTTTTTAAAAAATATCTTTCTTCTCTTTCATTATTTGTATATAGAAAAGCCACGGACTTTTGGGTGTTGATTTTGTAGCCGCTTGCCACTTTACTATACAAACCTACTGTTTCTAAGGAGCTTTTTTTTTGTAATCTTTAGGATTTTGTAAGTATAGTATCACGTGCTTAGAAAACATTTTCATTGTAAAAATATTTTTATCCAAATTGATGAAAAAATGGATAGTTTTAAAATGTGGTGCATTTTATCTGATAAAAATTGTGAAATAAGTAGTAGTTGCCTTTTCTCCTGGAATTTGGCATTGTTAATGCACTTGAGTATAATCACTGCCTTTTAATAGAAGGCTTTTGTTAGTTATTTCAACAGATATTTGTTCACTACGTGGAAGTCACATTATTCAAGACACGAAGTCCCTATTCTCTTAGAACTGAACCCTTGTTGAGGAAATGATAATTAAAATTAAAAAAATCACACAGTGCAAATGGGGAGTTGGTGGTGAGAACAGAGGGAACCACATCAAGTGAGAGTGTTCTGGCAGTGCCTCTCTGCCAGCCAACATTTGCATGCGTAGGGATTACTGGTAGTACAAAGATAAGTGGCTTAAAAACTTGGCATATAGAGGAACCCTCAAGTGCAAAACCTGTGGTCAGGAATAGTCTTTCTGTGTCAAAGGTGCAGATAGAAGGACAGCCTAGACTGCACAGTGAATGAGGGCCAAAGCACTGAGACAGGCAGGTGCTAGATGAGTCATGAGAGGAAATTACAAGAATGAGTGTCGGCCAGTTACATAATGTGCTTTTGGGTTTCAGGTATTTTTAAAGGATTACTTTGGTTTGCTGTATGTACTAGTTAGGCTTTTGTGATAAATCAGAGAAGCAGTGATGGCAGTGTGGGCCATGAGAATGGAAGTAGACATGGAGAGAATTGGTCAGTGAATTTGAAAATGATTGTTTAGAAACTGAAAGCTAGCTTTAGATTAAAGAAAACATTGATGAAATTGATTGTGCTTCGAATGATTATCTCATGGAAAGACTGAGGATTTGAAGAAAGATAAATGGGGTGAAGGTGACATGGATTTAATTTTAGTCTGATAAAATTTGAGGTAGAAGCTTTTTAATGTGGAATGTCAAATGTCAAACTGGTCAAGTAAAAATAAATTGCAATAGTGTTTGAAATAAAATTTGAAATTTTTATCAAAAACATTAGTTTAATATATTATTTCTTTTTGGTGTACTATATTTTATCTGATACAGTATAAGTCCAACCAGGGAACAGTTTCTTAAAGTAAAATCAACTTGAATACTTTGTTCAGGAGCCTGACAAATTGAATATTTTCACTACATTTTTCCCTTATTTAAATTTTAAATCTTAGAAAAGAGTTCAGCTGATATAGTGACTTAGAGCATGAAGTAACCTGGAGCTATCTAGCCTCACAGCAGATAACCAGGAGTGGCCCTGAGCCTCGGAGCGCTACTTGGGGGCCTACAATTTTGTACTATAGTTACAACTTAAGTAACTAGTAAAAATAATATTCAAATGTATAAAAATTATATTTTGTATTATTTATAGTAGTTATAGTGGCTATAGATCGATATTATTTCCCAGATAAGATTGACTTTAGCCTCTTAGCAATCTGTCTTTATATTAACCAGATATTTACCCATGTAATTATTTTAATTAGAAGTCATTTCTATTAAAAAATTAAATGATTTCAAATCATAATATGCTGAAACTCATTTTGGAGAAAATATTAAGTGAAGTTAATTTTAAGTGGCTATTTTGATCCTATAAAAGGATTAGAGGTGACTGAATGCTAGATTAGAAATTCTTAATCTGGGATCCACTAGTAGATACTAGATAGATCCATAGGTCCCTGAAATTGTTAAAGATATGCAAAAAACACTTTTTGGGGAAAGGATTAATAGTTTTCATCATATATGATTCAAATGTAAGAGCAGTGGCCTAGATAATAGTTTTGTAGAACTGTGAGTCTAAGTGTAAATACCAATAGGGAAATGTAAAGTGATTTGAAATACTGAAGTGTTTTTTTTTAACTACCTACAAAATAACCCCACTTTTTATGGTACCATCTCAATTTTGAGTTTTCGTTTTGTTCTCTTTTGGGGGGCTACACCCAGCAATGCTCAGGAGTTACTCCTGGCTTTGTACTCTGGCATCACTCCTGGAAGGCTCTGGGGACTATATAGGATGCCAGGGATCAAACATACATCAGCCATATGCATGGCAAGCATCTTACCCATTGTACTGTAATCTCCAGTCCCTAAAGTGTGAATTTTTCAAAACTAATCTTTTACCCTCCCCTTAGGATGTGCTTTTTGGTTTACACAGATGAACTGAGTTTTAAATGGATGATTAATCGCTAATACTGTCCAAATATAATTATTCTTTCTAAGATTCAAAGCACATAATAGTTTGTTACAAAATGTAAACTTGCTGAACTTTGTTAAGGTGCTGAAAGACTTTTACATAGTTTCTTAAAATGAGGTTTAAAAAACTGTTTCAGAAAATAATTTTCATTACCTCAACCTTGATGGACTCCAAGGAACACTTTTTCTTTACTTTCAGTCCTAGGATTAGCCTCACATAGGAAAATAAGTCATTATTCACCTAGCCATAATGCTTATCTCTCACCCTTGAGGAATTTCTTTATTACCAATTACTTAGTCTATAAATGCTCCATGGTTCTTATTGTTAACTATTTTTATTATCACTTGCTCTTTTGACTGACATGGAGTGATCAAATATAGACTTAATTTTGAAACCTGGTCTTTAGTGTAATTTTTAAATTAATTGCTTATTTATTTTGCCAGCTGAATAAAAGAACTCTATAAAAATAGCCAGAAGACTAGAGGAATAGTTCAAAGATTTTTTTAAAGCTCCCTCCATCTTTTTATCTAGGCAATCCTTAGGTGTCACATGGCCCTCTAGTGGAAGGGATGCTCAGCTGGACCGAGGCAACTGCAGGATATTCTCTGGGAGTTGTTACTCAAGGGATTGCTTTTATTCAGGTAATATTTATAGTTTGGATTATTTAGCTGGTTTTGAAAACTCAGGTGATAGGATTTTTGATTAGGTAAGGAGATATTTTGAAGTAAATAACCCTATCTGTGGAAAACTAACCTTGATCAGCCCATTCCTCATTAAAATACTGTTTTTTTTACACTGTCATCTTTTTACTAAAGAATTAATTGGAGCAATACTGTATTGAATAAATGGCCAGTCTGTCAGCTCACTTGAGTCTGCTCAGGCGACCCTCAAGCTTAAAAAAAAGAAGAAGGATTAATTGGGCTATTTGTTGTCGTGTAGTTGTTGTTGTTGGTGGTGTGCTAATATTTTTCAGTGCTTTTTATTTTTATTTAAACTGTACTTACACTTGATAGTTTCTTTCTCATAAGGTATTCCAAGAAAGACTCAATTTGTCATTTTGTTTTTTAAAACAAAAATTTCAGTTTTTTCTTCTTTTTAAAAGTAATTATAAACTGTATATTCCTGAATTGGGAAACAACTTTAGCACCATTTTCCTGTTTAATAAAATAGAGGTTGGGGCAGATGAATTAATACAGAGTTTGTGATATACACACACATTATGGAATGCTGCGAAGCTATAGGAAAAGATGATACTGTGTTGTCTGTGGCAACTAGAATGGAACTGGTGGGCATTGTGCTAAGTGAAATCAGTCAGAAGGAGGAGAACAAATACTGCGTGATCTCACTCATCAATGATCAATGCTATATCGAAAAAATCAGGGAGTACGATAGAATAGAAGAATGACAAACCCTTGACCTTTGATGGCAGAACTGAGAGTACTTAGGTGTGAGGGAAAGTTGGGTAAGGAAAAGATGGACCAGCACTGACACAGGACAGTGGTGGAGATGATGCAGTGACTTTGGACATCAAAACCATGAATGTTAACACTCTCTTATCACATTACCTAAACTACAATTTAAAAAGAGGGATTGAGGATGTAGGTCAGAGGTACAGCCCCTACTTCACATGTATAATGCCCCAGGTTTGGTGCCCCCCCCAAAAAAAAAGTAAAAAGAAATACAGTAGAAAATATTAAATAGAATAGAAATGTAGGTATCTTAATTTTCAAAAGGAGAAATAAACTTCTAAAATTGAAAAAGAAAAAAGAAACAGATTATTATTGGAGCTGTTTATTTCTTGTTTCTTAACTTCCTTTAAACCATTTTTCATTCTTTTTATCTTACTTGCCTTGGTGTTCTTGAGAGCTTCAAGTCCATCGTTTGAGTTTCACAAGTTTTGGTTACTGCTCTTATTTTTGGGGAATGTTTGGATAGGTAAACAAATTTTAGATCAAAAATGCTAGTATGACAGTAGAAGCGATAGAAGTGCTGTTTCTTTTTCTTTCCTCTCCCTTCTACAGACTTATCACTGAAATTGAACAAAAAAAATTGGCAATTTGGTGTTACAGGAAAACATTTTGTAGCAATTACTATTACTAATGAAATGTATAGTTATATAAAATAACTGACAACTCTAATTAGATAGTCTCTGATCCAGCAGGTGTTAAAGTACCTACCTTTTGATTTACTTTAACATAAGATAAAATGCAAGCAAAAGTATGATTATAGTGTATGATTCAAAAATACATTTGCTGATTTTTCTTTGAATGGAAAATCATGATTTAGATTCTTTCAGTAATTTACTTTGCTTATGTATAAGCAATGAACTCATAGCACAGCCAATTAACTGTGGGGTGGCTTACAAGTAAATTATTAAAATATTTTGTTTTCTTTTGTTCTTAATGTGTATATCATCTACTTATTTTCAGGGTGAATCTGCACTTGATTTGGCAAAACAGAGAAAAAATGTGTGGATGATCAACCATTTACAAGAGGCAAGGCAAGCAAAAGGATATGACAATCCATCTTTTCTTAGAAAATTAAAAGCTGATAAGGTAAATTCATGGTTGAAAATTGATATAGGAATCAATAGTGTTTTTAAGTAGGATTCATAGGCATGCTTTCTTATCATGACTATTGAGAGCCTTTAATTTTGGCATTGGTCTTGTTTTGTTGGTTGTGGGGCTATTCCAATCTGTGGCACCCAGTGCCTCCAGCACCACTCCACGTATTGGGCTTCCTTTTTTTTTTGCTTTTTTGGGTCACACCTGGCAATGCACAGGGTTTCCTCCTGGCTCTGCGCTCAGGAATTACCCCTGGCGGTGCTCAGGGGACCATATGGGATGCTGGCAATTGAACCCGGGTTGGCTGCATGCAAGGTAATCACCCTACCTGCTGTGCTATTTTTCTAGCCCCTGGGCTTCCTTTTTTGATGCTGAGATGTGGAATTGGTACAGGGCTATTCCCAGAGATGTTTGGTGCCCCTATGGCCATATCCAGTGGTAAGCAGGTTGTGGATCTGTGCAATGCTGGCGGATCAAACCAGGACCTGCCATATGCAAAATGTTTAGTACCACTTGTGTCATAATCCCCAACCCCAGTGTATTTTTGTTTTGAGGCTACATCTGGCTGTGCTCAGAGTTCACTCTTGGCAGTGTTCAGGGGCCTTTATGTGGTGCCGGGGATTGAACCCAGGCGGCTATTTGCAAGACCCAGTATAATTATTAAAATAACATTTCACCCAGAATAAAATGAAGGTAGAGAGCAAAGTTTCTCAGGCTCTGCTTATTTGGTTAATGGCCTATTTGTGTTATCTGAGAATTAAGAATGATGGGTTTCTGTGAAATTGTGTGAATCTCCATAAGCACTAAATTTAGTGATGTAAGTAAATTGGTCATTGAGTCAGCTGGCCTTTATTAAGTAATAAAAAGATAAAGGTGAATGAAATTTTCTGTCCAAGTACATTGATTAGTTAGTAGTAACACATTCTGATTAACATCCCAATGCTGTCTTTTCAAGTTACTATTAACTGTAGCTCTAATTAAGCTTTCCATATTTTGTGATATGTTAATATTTTCTTAAAAGAAAGAAACCTCTTTGCTTTTCTTTATAGAAAGCCCAGTTTAGGTCTGCCATATATTTTTAGTTTTAAATCTATGCCTTGATGCAAATGTCTAATTATAAATAATAATGTTTCCAAAACTTTGAATATTTCTTCCAAAGAGCACAAAATTCCTAAAAGGGAAAAATTAGCCGACAGTCTTTTTGTAGTAATAACCCAAGATATTTGCTAAATTTTTGTGTTAGCAGCTTGAATAACATTTAGTCTTTAGTACTGTTTTATGTGTCTTGCTCTATTTTACTGGTTATACTGCTTAATAATGTGAAAATGTTTATTGTAGTAAAATAATAATGTGAAACTTATATGAAAATATCTTACTTGTAGAAGAACTCAGACTTCCTGAATAACCTGGAAAGTTCATTGCCATTACTTAGACATCAGACTTCTGTTCTCAACTGCATACTTGAGAATAATAAGCAGTTTTGCATGTTGTATCAGCTCTTTTATGTCACTGTGAGATATGGTTATAGAAGATGCTTTATTGTTTATTTTCTTTGATATTGCTCACTAGTCTAGAAATTAGATCAGTTTTGAGTGAAATGGCTAATGTGTTATAATTATTGTCAAACTAATTATAGCTATAACTAGTTACTAGTTAGAACTAACTATATAAGTATTTATAAAAATGTTTTATTTTACTGTGGAAAATCGTATTCTTTGTTTCATTTTGATTGTTATTCTGAAAGTTTTTTGAACATACTGTCAGAATGACTTTGGAAATGATAGGTTTTAATATATGAAGTTATAGCAAAGATGAAATGGAATACTATTATGAGCACAGGTTTATTAGCTCTTTGTATATATTTTGTGGGGTGTTTTTTGTTTTTTTGGGGGGGTTGTTTTTGGGGGGGGGGGCGTCACACCTGGCTATGCACAGGAGTTACTCCTGGTTCATGCACTCAGGAATCACTCCTGGCGGTGCTCGGGGGACCATATGGGATGCTGGGAATCGAACCTGGGTCAGCCGTGTGCAAGGCAAACACCCTACTGGCTGTGCTGTTGCTCCAGCCCCTATTTTGTGTTTTTAGTGTTTTAAAACATAAATTTTATTTTTAAATCTGTAGCACAGCGGGTAGGGCGTTTGCCTTGCACATGGCCAACCCAGGTTCGATTCCTCCATCCCTCTTAGAGAGCCCAGCAAGCTACTGAGATTATCCCACCCGCACGGTAGAGCCTGGCAAGCTCCCCTGACATATTCGATATGTCAGAAACAGTAACAACAAGTCTCACAATAGAAACATTACTGCCACCTGCTCGAGCAAATCGATGAACAACAGGAGGACAGTGTTACAGTGCTATTTATAAATAGTTTGGAGGGTTTGTTTTGAGGGTTTTTTGTTTGTTTGTTTTGGTTTTTTGGGTCAAACCTGTCGATGCTCAGGGGTTACTCCTGGCTCTGTACTCAGGAGTGACTCCTGGCGGTGCTCAGAGGGGATCATATGGATGCCGGGAATCAAACTCAGGTTGGCTGCTTGCAAAGCAAACGCCTTCTCTACTGTGCTATCACTCAGGCCCCTATAAATAGTTTTTTTTTAAATAGTTTTTAAAGGTTACAAAAAACGTTCTTTTTAAGGTTACTAGATAAAAGTAACATGGAATTGCTATAAAGTTATTATAGCTATGTAAACAGTTTGGATCTTTTCCTGTCTCATATTAGAAAAATTTAAGTCATGAACATGATCTGCTAATCTGTAAAGTATGTTCAGTATTTAAAACTAAACAAGAAAATCGTGACACCCAGAACTAAATGTTATTTTACTAAAAATAAGTTATTCCAAAAGGAGTAAAAGTATTTTTGGATTTTGTAGCAGAGATACAATAGGGATGTTGATTTTGGGGAAAGTGTCTTAAAAGTTTTTGGATTCCACCTCATTCATCCCCCTTCCCCTCACACACACCCAAATTTGGATTTTTAGGATTAGAGAATGTCAGACATCCTTGTCTAAAGGATGATTTAAATGTCTAAAAGAGATTTAAGTGTTGCTTATTAGTAAATTGGAAGGAAAACATTACATTAGTATTTTCTGTATTAAAAAACCTGTGTTCATTTTAATACCAATAGAAATTTAATGTCTTTAATATTGTTGATTGACTATTAAAACCTGAGATGATTGAGTAGATATTCTTTCCCCTGTTTCTCCTTTTAATTATTATCTACAAAACCTGGGCGTTATGTACAAAACAAATATAAGATCACTGGGGGAAAGAAGAATACAGAAGGACTAGGGAACTTGGGACCTTAAGAATGATATCATGGTGAATTCCCTGAATTTTTTTTCATTCTTTTTTTGCTGCATATCTCTCTGATAGAGATATCTAGAGATATGTAGATAACCGCAAATGAGGCAGTTTAGCCAGCTCAAGATAAAAGCTTTTAAAAAAGCCATTTACCTACTGTAAGTAAACTGCCATCAGTTTTGTATTTTGTATATTCTCTCCTAAATGGTGCCAGAAGACTGTTTAAAGGTATAAGCATTGTCAGGTGTGCCGCTCCCCCCCCCCAAAAAAAAAAGTTGGAACTTGTTTCCCCACTAAGCTTCCTCAAAAAATGAAGGATTAGAATAGAGCTTTCATTATGACCCTGCCATTGCACTCCTGGGCATGTAAACAAGATACAAAAACACTCATTCAAAGGGCCATATGCCTACCTATGTATCACAGCATTATTCACAATAACAGATCTGGAAACAACCCACATGCCCAACAAGATGACGAGATAAAAACAAATGTGGTCTATTGACACACAGTGTAAAACTACTGAGCTGTGAGAAAAGATTTTATCTTGCAGTTTGTTGTAACTTGGATGGAATTGGAGGGTGTCATGCCAGTGAAGTGAGTCAGAAAAATAAGATAAACACCAGATCATCTCAGTCATATGTAGAATAGTAAGAAAAAGAACATAGGATCAGACAGTCTCCTGTGGAAACAGAGATCAGATCCTGAGATAGGATTAATGGAACTGTGATTTGAAGATTATAAGGTGGATGGGGGAAATCAACTCTGGGTTAATAGTGGAGGGAGTTGGCACTGGTAGTGGGCATGGTATAGCAGTACTCCTGAGTATAAACTGGTAATATTGATAATATTGTTTAACAAAATTAAATTTTAAAGTAACAGTGAAAATAAGAACTGAGAACTCCCTAGTCCAAAGAAATGAACAGAAATTCAGGAAGTTGATAGAACTCATAAATTTCTAAATGCAAAAAGACCTGTTTAAGAAATATAATTGTTTAAATATAAAAAGGGAACAATAAAGAACAAAACAACTTTTAAGGGTGCTAGGAAAAACTAATATAATGGCACCCAGAAGAGGAATGACCTCTTCACAATTCTAAAGGATGAAAACTTTAGCTAAGAATACGCAAAAGTGCTATTCAAATATGATAAAGAAATAAAGTCTCCCTTACAAAACAAAAGCCTGTGGAGTTACCAGTGCTATACTCCCCTGAAAGAAAAGTTGAAATATGTTCTTCATGTAAAGGTATAATAGAAAGATAAAATTACCTTGAACAAGATAACTAATGATTTAGAATTAAATACATATCTATTATATAATAGTAATGAACTGAGGCAACAAAACATAGGAGGAAGTAACATTTAGAATATGTTTCATGACAACTCATTACTAAATCAAGACTATTAGAGAGATGCAGAAATACTGATAGAGATGCAGAAATACCCATGGCGACCACAAAGTATGAATCTGGAAGAGATGAATTAGAATGAAAAATTAAAAATAGACTCACTAGGGAATTCACCAGAGAAAACCATCAAAATGAAAGCCTTTAGAAACCCAGTGGGGAAAAAATCTATACAGCAGGGGTTATGGAGGGAGTACAGGGGTTCTCTCCAAACCAACCCTGGTTCTGCCTCTGACACACTGTAGATCCCATAGCCTTGCTGCCTACAGCCTTAGAGGCCCCGAGTGCCTTG